CTCTGTTTTTTTTTCCTAATTTTAGCGAATTATGGCTTTCGAAATAATGAGTGTTTGTGTATAAGTAGCTCTTAGATTACGCCGAAGTTAGTCCTGCCATTGAACGAAACTTAGTGATTTTGATTTTATAAAACACAGCTTCATATCTCACAAGACTAGATAAACGACCTTCACACATTCAAAGAATAAGTAAATAAATAAATAAATAACACAAAATAATGATAATAATAAGATAAATAGATAAATAACATAAGATATTTTTTATGAAAATAAAAAAAATAGTCTTTTCTTTTCGTGGACATCTCTTTACAAGGGAAAAAAAATCCCCTAATCCTTCTTTATCCATTTTCTCCTATTCTTTTCTTTTATCTCTTTATCTTTTCCCCTAATCCTTCTTTATCCATTTTCTTCTATCCTTTCTTTCATCTCTTTATCTTTCTCCTAATTCTTCTTTGTCCATTTTCCTCTATTCCTTTCTTTCATCTCTTTATCTTTTCCCCTAATCCTTCTTTATCCATTTTCCTCTATTCCTTTCTTTTATCTCTTTATCTTTCCCCTAATCCTTCTTTATCCATCTTCCTCTATTCCTTCTTTATCCATTTTCTATTCCTTTCAATTATCTCTTTATCTTTTTTCCCTATTCCTTCTTTATCCATCTTCCTCTATTCCTTCTTTATCCATTTTCTCCTATTCCCTTCTTTTATCTCTTTATCTTTCTCCCCCTTTTCTCCAGGGCGCCGACGGCATCCAGCCCCTGGAGGCCATGCTGTACACCCTCGACCAGATCAACCAGAACAGTGCCATCCTCCCTGGCATCACCCTCGGGGCACTGGCACTCGACTCCTGCGAATCCCCTGGCGTCGCCCTCGACCAGGCACTCGGCTTCATTAAGGGTTGGTTATTGGGGGTGTTTTTGGTGGTGTGGTGGGGTGGTGGTGGGGGGTGGTGGGGGTGGGGGGGTGGTGGGGGTGGTGGTGGTTGGTGGTGGTGGTGGTGGTGTTATGATGTTGATGTTGATAGTTGTGGTGGTGGTGGTGTGGTGGTGGTGGTGGTGGGTGGTGGTGGTGGTGGTGGTGGTGGTGGTGGTGGTGGTGGTGATGGTGATGATGGTGGTGGTGTTGGTGGTGGTGGTGAGGTGGTGGTGGTTGGTGGTGGTCGGTGTGGTGGTGTGGGTGGTGGTGGTGTGATGTCGATCGTTTGGTGGTGGTGGAGATGGTGTTGGTGTGGTGGTCGTTCGTTTGGTGGTGGTGGAGGTCATTGTGGTGGTGGTCGTTTGGTGGTGGTGGTGTTGTGGCAGTAGTGGGTGGTCGTGTTGTATTTTTTTTTTTTTTTTTTTTTTTTTTTTTGTCACTGTTATTGTTGTTGCATGGCTATCGGTTTTGAATGGATGGGGGTAACTGTCTTTTTTGCGTGTGTGTTCTTGCATTTTGAATTTAAAGATGAATAGATATAAAAGAAAGTGAATGGAAGAAAATTAGAAAAGAATGAAAAAATCAAGAATTTTAAAAAAAATATGTATTCTTCTACTTATTTACATATATATGTGTGTGTGTGTTTGTTTGTTTGTGCATGTGTGTGTGTGTGTGCGTGTGTGTATACAGGAGTTAAGAAATACCCATTACACTTTCGATATCCACTTATACAACCCCAGTCATCCTTTTCTGACAATTCCTCTCTGAACCTGACAAAGACATCAGAGCCTGGACGATAAAACGGTAATATTCGGTTAGGAAATAACACAAAACGTCTTTCCTGAGACCCGTTTTCTGTGAACTTTTTGAGATCATCATTTCCGATTCGAGGGGGCACTCCTGCATCCTGAAAGCTTACGGTAAACTCAAAGGTGAATGTGTTTTCTTGGGGTTTTCTTTGATTACTGTTTGTCTTCTCTTTGTTTCTTCGGGAAAGAGGAATTTATTTGTTATACATGTTTGATTTTATTTCTTTATTTGTTCATTATTTTCTTCGTTATTTTAACAGTATTTGTTTTCTTTGTTTGTTCTTATTTATCTTTTGTTATCTTATTGTATATATGTTATCACTTTATTCATATTTATTGTATCTAGATTATTACTTTATTCTTGTTTATTGTATCTATATTATTACTTTATTCTTATTCATTATCTTATCAAATCTACTGCATGTATTTTACTTATTTCTTCTTAATTTTTCTTCTCCTAAAGAGCTAAGAATGCATCAGGTTTCCTATCTACATTAGAGAGAACGTTGGGGGTTTTCCCTATTCTTCGTTCTCACGCATTTATTGCCATTTCCTTCCATTTCCCGCGCTTTTTCTCGCACTATAAACGTCATGACCGTTTCCGAGTCCGTTCTCAAGGAGATTCCAAAACTATTTACAAGGGATTCAAACGTGTTTATCTCGTGTTTTGTCGTGTGGAAGTCAATTGTTTATACTGTAGCTAAAAGATTAAAGGAAATAGATGATAAAGAAGAAAGAGGTGATGATGATAATGAGGAATAAAAAGGAAAATGAAAAAGAATATGGTAAGGAAAATTAAGAAGTAAAAAAAGAATCAAAAATAGTAATTAAGAGATAAAACCCTTTAGTGAGAAATAAGTATCCATCTATTTCTCTTTATTCACATCTATTTATCAATCTCTCTATCTACGTCTATATATCTATATCGGGCTATGTATCTATGCGCGCGCGAGTGTGTGTGTATGTGTGTGTGTGTGTGTGTTCGTGTGTGTGTATGTGTGTGTGTGTGTGTGTGTGTGTGTGTGTGTGTGTGTGTGTGTTGTGTGTGTTGTGTGTGTGTGTGTGTGTGTGTGTGTGTGTGTTCGTGTGTGTGTGTGTGTGTGTGTGTGTGTGTGTGTGTGTTCGTGTATGTGTGTGTGTGTGTGTGTGTGTGTGTGTGTGTGGTGTGTGTGTTCGTGTGTGTGTGTTCGTGTGAGTGTGTGTGTGCGTGTTCGTGTGTGTGTGTTCGTGTATGTGCATGTGTCACATATATTATGATGAAGCATAAATGGTTGTGACTGGGACATTATCATCAATGTCAGCAATATCAACAGACATTTTAGATCACCATTCACAAAAAAAAACATCTATTTTACTAATCAGATTACCGCGTCTAAACCTGTGTTCAATAAATCTCTCTCTCTTAATATTTTCATCTATCTATTCATATATCTATCGAATATCAGCGCCCAGAGACAATTGATTAGGATTAGGCTAAACTAAACATAATCTACATTTCTTTGCATAGGCTACCTGGCAGGTGAGAACAAGTATCATGAGGCAGACTTCATGTGCAATGACGGGTCTATCCCTACTTACCGTGGCGGGAAGTTCGACAAAGTCATCGGTGTTATTGGAGGCCAAACTTCGGAAGTTTCTGTGCAGGTAGGCCTATGAATTTTATTTGTATTTTTCCGTGTTTTTTTCGTGTTTTAGTTTTTTGTTTTGTTTTTAGTTTTGTTTTTGTGTGTGTGTGCGTGTGTGTGTGTGTGTATGTGTGTGTGTGTGTGTGTGTGTGTGTGTGTGTGTGTGTGTGTGTATGTATGTATGTATGTATGTATGTATGTATGTATGTATGTATGTGTGTGTGTGTGTGTGTGTGTGTGTGTGTGTCATTTTCTGTGTGAGTGTAAGTAGGATTATGTTTTCGAAGTACGGCTGGGTAGGTCTGTTATTTCAGGACTTCCTGTAGGTAGTGTTCTAATTATCTGTATGTAGGTAGGTATCCTTATTATTATTGTAATTATCATCATCATCACCATCATTATCATTATCATCATCATCATATCATTATTTTCATTAATATTATCATTATTATTACTATCATTATTATAATTTTAATTATTATCATTACTATTACTATCACAATAATAATAATATTATTATTATTTATTTATTCTTTTCTATCATCACTATCATAGTCTTAAATTTGCAAAGATACACATGGACTCGCCCTGAACCACTAACCAGACTATATAAGAAAGATAGGAAAGCACGTATCACACCGATTGAAATAAATGTGAGGCCCAAAACTCCATTCAGCGCCATCTATTGTTCAGATGTTACACTATCCGCCAACCGCTTTGGCTCACAGACTTTTACTATGCTTTCCTATCTTTCGTATATCGTCTTTGTGTTAATGTTACTTGCCTTTATAAACACACACACACACACACACACACACACACACACACACACACACACACACACACACTCACTCACTCACTCACTCACTCACTCACTCCACACACTCTCTCTCTCTCTCTCTCTCTCTCTCTCTCTCTCTCTCTCTCTCTCTCTCTCTCTCTCTCTCTCCTCTCTCTCTCTCTCTCTCTCTCTCTATCTATCTATCACACACACACACACACACACACACACACACACACACACACACACACACACACACACAATTTAATTCTGCCTTGGTATTTCATATATTTCACCTGCCTTAACTGCTTTTTCCTCCGCCAGATGGCCAGCGTCCTGCGGGTGATCCAGATGCCGCAGATCAGTTACCTCAGCACCTCAGCGTCTCTCAGTAATAGGGAAAAATATCCTTTTTTCTTACGTACAGTTCCTTCTGACAGCACTCAGGCCGAAGCCATCTTACAGATCCTTAGGTAATACTTATCAAGATGTTGGTTCTGTTCTTTCTGAATGGGTTTTGTATCTTCCTGTGTTGATTGTAGCGTATAGATTACAAAAATTAATGTTTATTTACATTTTTCTCAGGAGCAATTTTTTTTCTCTACTTTCGTGTCATAGAAAGTACCGTAAATAGATATTCATTTGTTTTCTTCTATGCTACTTCTGCATCAGTAAATAAACCACTTTATCCTTAAACAAATAACGTGCATATATATCATTATCATTTTCAACAACTTTTTAAACGTCTTTTCCACAACAGCAAATTCTATTGTACAATTTTCTTCTCAACATCTCACGCATTAAGTTAATCAATCCCTCTAACTTTAAACATAACGGACATATATATCATGATAATTTTCTTCAACTTTTTTAA